TGTTTTGTTTAGAGTTATGTTAGTCCCTCTTTTTCGTTTATAGTTGCATATCCATGTGTGGCTAGATATGCTAGTTCACTATAAACAAAGCTCTGATACCAACCTGTCACACCCCCGAACCAGACAGCGGAAACGTCCGGGGGCTGTCGTGACTCAATTGAATACCATCACAATGAATATACATGAAACATAACATTATACATCACCAACATTTGGAATGATACAACTGGTAGCGTTTACATCCATTACATTGTTCCAAAACATTACATTCTCAAAAATAACTGTTCGATACTAAATTAAACCACAGCAAAACGTCATAGAGTACAATTCATCCTTCACTTTATCTGTTACCTGAGAATACAAGTATTTTGAAAAACGTCAACATATGAAATGTTGGTGAGTTCATAAGTAATGTTTGAAATCCAATGTTTGTAATGTGTTGAAAAACCACCAGAAAATCCGATATTTTCTGAAAATAGTATAGTAAAAAGGTGTGAAGATCCATAGGTATGCTTGTTTGTTTCTATACTTGTAAAAATTGTTCATTTAAAATTGTGTGCATTCCGAATCCGTATGTATTGAAATACCCTAGGAAAACCCGATGTTTTCCTAATTCTTTGAATTACATGAATGTACATTGAAACAATTGCAACGCGTGAAATTATCAGTACCAGGCGACGTTGGATTATTTTTGAGCATGATTATTTGCTACAAACACACGTTACACAAACGACTAGTCTATAGCAATACTAACGATCCCGTAGGCGTCGTCCGTACTAATCACGTTATCCAACCGCCCTGACTACGTGTAGTCCCACACCCGAAGAGAACGAGGACACGAAGGCCTCGATGACTCCATTAGCCGGTTGGGGATAAAAAGGTACGAGGGGTCCCAGACCCGCCTCGCATGAAAAGGTAGACTCTACTAGCAATACCAAAGGACCCTTGGGGACCAGTAGTATACAAGCCATTGAAAGTCCTTTTACGTTATGTCGGATCGGTAAAACCCAACACTTCGTAAGATAGAGGTCTTCGGGCCTTAAGATCAGGTCATTGGGCTAGCTAGGCTCAACAAACAAGATTTTACACTTTTGGGGCCCAAAGATGGTGCGTAGACGTCTGTGCACACTCGCATGTATATTGAATTCCCAAACGTTATTAGTTATGAATCGTAATGTCGTAGTGTCATAGTGTCGTCGTGTTAGTAGTTTCGGATTTTTATTGGTTCGAGACCGAACCAATTCGTTTAACGACTTTTGGTGTTGTAATGTATTGTATTTCGTCGATAGTCGTGGTACCATCATTTGGTCAAATTGCATGTATTGAATTAGCCTTGAAAATTTTCTGTTTTCAGCCCCTCCTTGTTTGTAAAAATTTACTTTTTCAACCCTTTATTTAAATACTTTCCGGTTTGGTCCTTAAATCAATTTTCTTGACATTTTAATACCAAAAATTATTGAAATAAATATTTTCCAGCATATTTTTCCTAGAAAACAGCTTAAGTCCCTGAAATTTCAGTTTTCTCGGTTATAACCCTTCTTTTTCGCAAGTTTGACAATTTTGGCCCAAATTGTAAAATTTTGCAACTTTAGTCCCTTTTAAATTTAAAAAGCATTTTAAACCTTTGAAAAGGACTTGGATCACTTATAGTCCACTGTTTTACAGAAAAACACAGTTTTGGCCCTCCAAAACAGAAAATTTCGCATAATGGGCCTCATTGGGCCGAAAATGTCATTTTTAGCCCATTAAGCTTGAAATTTATGTTTTTAATCCTCTAAATGAGTATATTTCCAGAAATTGTTTTATTGAAACTGTTTTGACACAGTTCATCCATCAGAATTCGTGATTTGTCAATTTGGGCCCTTAATTTTTGTATTTTTCACATTTTAGGTCCAAAAATTGTGTTTTTAGTCCAAAGAAATTATTACTAAACCACTTAGCTATTTTTCTAGAGACACTTAGTATGTAGAAATATAGTAGAGGCTAAAATCATTTAACATAAGGTAAATCTCGGTTTTGAGGAGTTTTATGGCTAAATCCAACATTATAACTCACAAAAGCACACATATAAGCATGGAAATCATACAAAGCATACAAAACACATATAGATCTACACTTTCACTTGTATTCCCCCCCCCCCCCCCAAAAAAAAAAAAAAAAAACTCATAAAAACGGAAAATAGGGGGTATGAAGCTCACCTTGAGTTGTAGTTTCGGTTTTGAAGAGAGAAAAGAAGAAAATTTCGATCCTAGCAAGTCTCCTTGGTAGATCTCGAGTTTAGTGACTTCTAAGGTGCATGATCACAAGTTGGAATAGATTTAGAAGAGATTTTTGATGAAATGAAGTAGCTAGATCATGGATTAGTCATCAACTTACCTTAGATGATGTGTTTGTGGGAAAAACCTCCTTGAAAAGCTCTTGATTCTCGAAACTTTTGAAGAAGGAGGAAGGAGATGTCCTTCAAGACTTAGAGAGAATGAAATGGATTTTTGTGAGTGTGTGTGTGTTGTGTTCGGCCGAGAGCAAGAAGAGAGAGGAGAGGAGGTGACCTTTGAAGTGCTATGCATGGAGATATGGGATGAGTTGCATGGATATCCAAAAGGCAATAATGAAGTGGCAAGACAAAGTCAACTCTCATCTTATCCTTGGGTTTGGGCCTTGGGCCGAGATTTTTGGAAGGAAAAAGGGAAAATTTGGGCTTTAATGCCCACAAGCCCATGTGTATATTAAGTTGGGTGAGTTTTAACCTAAAAAAAATTATAATATGATTCTTACACTTTGTTGGGCTAGTTTAGGTTAATCATGGTTCAAAATTTTGAATTTATTTCATTCTAGGCCCAATATAGCCCAAAATGTTGAAACAAATAGATGTGGGTCCAATTAGAGCACATTTAAGAGTTCTAAACCCAAGATAGTCAAATTGGAAGTTTATTGGTCCATTAGGCCCAATAAGGAAGTTCTAGTCCAAAATGGACCTAAATAAGAACTTCTAGGGTTTCCAATTGCTTGTTGACTATTTGTAATGCTTGTATGGTGTATTTGATTGAAATTTTGTTGTCGCAATCATAGGTGTTACACATGTTGTTAAGCTTTTGATTCACTTTAGCTTGAGTGTATAGTTTACAAGACAGAAAATTTCCAGTTGTGACAGTCTTTTTGATGGCTGCAAGAAAAAGAGAGGAGTGTGAAGACTGAAGAGGATATGTTAGGAAAAGTGAAATACGCGTGCCCTCTTTTTCTTTTCAGATGCGTACTCATATCTGAAATATTAAAACCCTTTTGAAAAATTAAGAGGCAAAAATAAGATGCTGCCAAACACTCTTAATTGAAAAAATTCAGATATCTCTGTTTTTAAGAGGTATTAAGAGGTAAACGAACAACCCTTAAAAAGAATGAAGACGACAATTGAATTATCAATGCTTGCTGGTTGAAGCCTTATTATTGACCTTTGCTTCCACCAACCATGAGAATTGAAGTTAGAGGCATGTTGTTTGTTGTCATCCTCCATTCAACCCTGAAGTTGGTGTCGATGTTGGTATTCATTGACTACATGATAAAATTGTGAGATGTCTCTGTAGGTGTAGGTTTTAGGATTACTTACGTGAAAGTATGTAGGAGACTAAGGTGTTGTTTGTTTTTTTGGAAAAAAATAACTTCAGACCTCTTATTGACGCGCGACGCAGTACACGCGCATCATTTTTCATCTCGCAGTTGTTTGTTTTTTAAAAGTCTTTAGTGTCAAAAACCTCTACGCGTGCTTTGTTTGACGCAACACTTATATTGTCTCTTCCAACTTTTTTTTTTCTTGCTGAAATATTTATTATATGTTGTTGAAATTTTATTTCACTTTTTTTTTTGTTTATTCTTGTTGATTTTTTTTTTTCGTTTTTGTATATTGAATAATGATAATTTCTTGATGAAATATCATTATTTTTTACTAAATATCTTTATTTATTTTTGTTGAAATATGATTATTTTTTACTGAAATATCATTAATTCTTGCCGCAAAGTTATACATTAATATCTGCAGCAATATGCAGATGTTAAAAAAAAACACTCTTCTTATTACAATATGTATCCGTTTGATCCATCTCTTCTACTGCAGAGGGTTACAGAGGTGGTTCGCAGACTTAATGAATTTTTGCTTCAGAAAATCAAACAGCACCTAATATTTCATGTGAGCTATCATCGTTCAAAGATAGATGCAAATTCGTAAATTTTTAGACAATGTAAATTTATAAGAAATATGTATTATGTATGAAACTTTATTATTAAATAAAATTATCAGTTATCAAATTAAGAAGTTATGTTATTATATCAATCCAATATGTTATTTGATACCAAATTCTTTAATTTATAGGAAATGATTTTATAGAAAAGTCCCAATTTTTTTTTAAAAGTTTCAATAAAATCCTAAAAAAATTTTTAATAGAAAAGTCTCAATATTTAAAAAAAAAATTATATAATCTATTATTTGCTATTCAAATATAACTTTTTTTTTCGTTAATTTAGACAAAACATCAAAATATTGAGATTTTTCTGTTTAATTTTTTAATTTTTTTTTATTAAGACTTTTGAAAAAAATTTAAAATTTTTCTGTAGATAACACGTAGAAATATTACAAATACGTCACAAAAAAAATATAATAAATTATTGAAATTAATGTATTCATATTACAATCTCAAAAGGAATGTGTTAAATGATTTTCTTATAAGGATGTGTGTATGTTCAATAACACCTATTATTTCAACATAATATCTATACTTTCAAATTTCACCAACTTAGTTAACTCTTTTTCATTTCGTATCCTATATACTTATACTTTTTAATGGTTTTTAACGTTAGTCGCTTGACAAAAAAGAGAAAAAATAGTTATACAACAATATTAAACCATATTTGGTCGTTTTAGTGATGTATATGACTCGTATATATCAATTCAAATACATCTTTCACGTAAAGTAACACCCAAATCCGATTATCGACCACTATAAAAATTGAAAATGTTCGAAATTCCAAGATCAAGACTCGTTTACTTGTAATTCTACAGCGTATAAATCGCATGTATTCAGCAATTTCGTCTTCGATAGCAAAACCCTACATGATCAACTCTATAGAAAGCTAAAGGGGGGCGGTGTTCTTGTTCGATTTTGGGGGTAACGTATTTGGTAGCTCTTCCCAACAATTTCAATTTGAATATTTGCATTCGTTGTTTATATTAATCAAATAATTCTGTATAGTAATTGTTGTAATCCGTTAGCTTGATATTGGTCATTGTGCTAAAAAAATTCTAGGGTTTCAGAATTTAAGGACGATGACTAGGAAATCCTCTACTTGCGCTTTCTGCGAGAACTCGAATCTTGCTTCTATTTGTACGGTTTGTGTCAATTACAGGTAAAATTTACGATTTTTTTTTAGTATTTTGTAGTGTTTTAATTTAGCAATTCAGCTCAAACAGGCATCAATTTGTACTCCATTTGTTCCCAAAGTGGATTTTGAATTGATATCTTCTTTATACAGGTTGAATTCATATGGCACAAATTTGACATCATTAAAGAGTCGTCGAGATTCTTTATACTCAAAACTGAGTGAAGTTCTTGTTGCAAAGGTTTGATCATCTCCATACTCCATAGCTTGTCTTTTTTCTGATTCTTTTGATCGAAAATGATTAATTTGCTTTTTATGCTCCTCTCTACTTGTTTGATTTCTTCATACTCTTTTTACATACTGTTTTTCCTTTATTTGTTGCTGCTAAAAAACTAGTTAATTTTCCAACTCTGTTTTTTCAGAGTAAGGCAGATGATCAAATCAGCTGGAGAATCCTTCAACATGAGAAACTCGCCACATTGAGAGAGAAGCTCCATTTTCGAAAAGAACAGCTTTCAAAAGGTTAGATTTTATAATATTCCTGTAGTTAATATTTGCAAGTGATATTGTTAATTATCAAATCATTGATCATTTTATACTTAATTTGTTCTTTACAGATAAAGCCAAAGTTGAAAAAACGACTTCTGACTTAAAAGTCAGATATGAATTGCTTGAATCAGCCATGGATGTGGTATAAAAATCTCTTACCTTTTTTATTTTCTTTTTAATTTAAATGCACATTTATGCAAAATGTTTCACCTTTCCTCATTTTATGCAATTTGTTGCATAAGTTTTAGCACTTCTATTGAAGACACTGAAGGGGAATTTTGAATTTAATCACCCATCTTTCCATTTACAGTTGGAAAAGAACAGAAAAGAACAACTGGAAAAATATTATCCTAATCTTATATGCACTCAAAGCCTTGGTCATGTAAGAATTACTAAATTTACTTCCTTCAATTTCTTTCGAAATTATTATTATTATTAATTTTCTTTTCTATATATTACATACAGATGGCAATTACATCAGAACGCCTCCACAAACAATCTGTTGTTATCAAACAAATATGCAAATTGTTTCCACAACGCAAGGTACATATTTCTCACTTATTAGTGTTGTCTAGATAAATGATGAAGGGCAAATTTGTAAATATTCAATGTTTGCAGGTGAATATAGATGGAGAGAGAAAAGATGGATTGAGTGGACAATATGATCAAATTTGCAATGCAAAATTACCAAGGGGACTTGATCCACATTCTGTTCCTTCAGATGAGCTTGCTGCTTCTTTAGGGTTAGGAATTTTATTAAATTATGATATTATATATATTGAATTATCTTTTTTAATTTTAAATTTATTATTTTTAATAAATACAACAGATATATGGTGCAGCTTCTTAATCTGATTGTTCACAATGTTGGTGCTCCTGCACTTCATAACTCAGGTTTTGCGGTAATTTCTTTTCTCATCACCTTTTGTTTATAGTATGGAATGGAATTGGACAAAGGAATGGAATGAGTGATTGCATTCCGGTATCAATTTTTGATGCAGGGTTCATGCTCCCGTATATGGCAACGTGATTCTTATTGGGATGCACGCCCTTCCTCTAGAAGGTATTACTTCAGTTTTCACCTAAATGCAACAAATAGCAACCTACTTTTGTATTACAAAATCCTTTTTTTTTTGTTTCTGTTAATTACATCATTGTACTTTCAGTTTTCATTTACATATTTACACTTTTGGCCCGTGTTTTAAATGTTGTTACAAATTTCGTCCGAACCTTTTTCTTTTACAAAATGGTCCTAATTTCTTTTTTAAACTTTTTTATGACAACCTTTTTAACTTTGTTTACACGATTTTTGAAACTTTTTTTACAACATAAGTGAAAAAAGAGTTAATAATGTTTAAAAAGGTTGTATAATTTGTGTGTGTTTTTTAAGTTGTTAAAAATATAAAAAAGTTGTAATTTTTTTAGTCAGAACCTTTTTCTTTTACAAAATGGTCCTAACTTCTTTTTTTAAATTAAATTTTTTACAACTTTTTTATGACAACATTTTTAACTTTGTTTACATGATTTTTGAAACTTTTTTTACAACATAAGTGAAAAAAGAGTTAATAACGTTTAAAAAGGCTGTATAATTTTTTTTTTATTAAGTTGTTAAAAATATAAAAAAGTTGTAATTTTTTTAGTGAAACAATTTTATAAAAAACTGTGTAAAAGAAGTTTGTGCAAAGTCTTAATTTTTTCAAAAAAATTCTTGTAAAAAACTAAATATACGAAAAGAAGTTTGTTGCAGATCTGTAAAACTAAGTTTCGACCAAATTTGTAACAAAGTCAAAAACTTGGGCCAAAAGTGTAAATACATAAACTTTTAATAGTAGGTCAAAACTCAAAACACCCAACCCGTTTTACACAATAAATTTGGTTTGTTGGCAACTTAAAAAAACAACTTAAATAATTTATTTCACAAAATCAGTGATAAACTTCGCTATAATAATAAATTAATCCAATAAACAAACGAATGAAAGTACATTGCTATTTTATCATGCAGCAACGAGTACCCACTTTTCATACCCAGACAAAACTTTTGCACAACGGGTGTAGAAACATCATGGTCAGACAAAAGCTCAAGTAATTTTGGAGTTGCTTCAATGGAATCAGAAAAGAAGGCTCGTTTGGAATCTTCTAGTAGCTTCAGTTACACCTCAGCATCCCCTCATTCCCTTGAAACACACATGGATTTACAAAAAGGAATTTCACTTTTGAAAAAAAGCGTCGCATGTGTAACTGCTTATTGCTACAACTCATTGTGCCTTGAAGTTCCTCCTGATGCTTCTACTTTTGAAGCCTTTGCTAAATTGTTAGCCATGCTTTCTTCCTCTAAAGAAGTTAGAACTGCTGTCTCCTTGAAAATGGCTTGTTCAAGGTACGCTTTTAGTCCTTCTTTTTTTCTTCAACTTACGCTTTTAGTCCTTCCTAACATATTTTTCTTTAAGATCATCGAAACAAGTTCAGCAGTTAAACTATTCAGTATGGAATGTGAATTCAGCTATCTCTTCAAGTACTTTACTTGAAAGCACACATACTTCATCTTCCATGGTACCTTTTTTTTTTTTTTTTTTTTTTTTTTTTAAATAAATACTAATGCTTATTTTGATATATATATATATATGTAGAGAAGTACACATGATAAAAGTCTTTATGCTAATGAAACTGGGGCCCACAACCACAATGGAGGGAAAAAAGAAACACTTACGGAAGGGTGGGATCTGGTGGAGCATCCTACTTTGCCTCCTCCTCCATCCCACACTGAAGATGTGGAACATTGGACTCGAGCCATGTTTATTGATGCAACCAAGAAGTAAGAAAAGGGTATAATGGTCATTTACTCATCGGGGAAAGTAGCTGTTGGAATGATTGGGGGAAAGTTATATTATAAAAAGAAATATGTAAATAGGAAATGATTCCAAGTTTGTACATATGGAGGCTTTTAGTCTGATTTATCAACAATCTTATCATATTATTATAATGAGTAGATTACACGAATGGTTCCTATGGTTTTGGGTAAGGTGATAGGGTGGGGTTAAAGATGTGTTTATTTAAATAAATTAAAAAATAAAAGGAAAAATAGATTTTTTATGTAAGACAGGGACCAAGCGTATAACAAAAACAAACAGTAGGGACCTTTCGAGTTAGAAAAATAAGTTAGGGATCAAACTTGCAAATTACCCTAAACCATAGGGTTCATTTGTGTAATTTACCCTATTACAATATATATAGCAAAACAATGGAATGTGTTTACAAATGTGTGAAACTTTGTCATACATGCACAGTTACACACACTAAAGGTGAGAGAGAATTAGTAAAATATGAAAAAGAAAAAGGAAAAACTTTTAGCACATTTTTTTTAAAATAATATATGTATGACAGGGAACTAGTTTGTGGTGTCTTTATGCAACTGGTTGCACTTGCAAAGTAAAAGATTGAGCATTCCTTCTCTACGAAGTAAAAGAGCTATTTTGAGAGATTTTTTTTTTACTCGATATATTTAACTTTAACTTGAAGATGACATGATATGATATAAGCCTCACACATGTTATATTTTATAGGATGATCGATTCAAAATGGTCGTAATGATCAAAAGTTACTAAAAACTTTATAAAATAGCACAAGTACCAATAAAACTTTATCAAGAGTTTTAAAACAATAAAAACATTGTTTAGAAAAATATACGAGGGAATATATAGTCAAACAAAGACGATACGATAAAGTCTATGCTACTTATAAACTTCCTCTTTCCATGTAGCAAGTACTAAGGTTAGGAATGATAAATAATACGTATAAAGCAAAATTTTTATATATTTTAAAACATAACTCCTTCATCTTTAAAACTTTATTCATCCTTCAAAAGCATGTGTTTGGTATCATTACAAATAAAAGTTAATGCTAAGATGAGTTGAAATCCGAGAAATACCGTACAAGTAAAAAAGTTATAAGCTGAAATAAGTTAAAATCCTTTAAAGAGATAAAACCTAAAAAAGATGCGACCTTTCTTATTAATTTTTTTTTCTCAACATGCTTGTAATGTAAAATATGAACATGTACGTCAAAATACTATGTATCGCGTTGATGTTGATTGAGGGTTCAATACAAGTATCGAACCTATTGCAATCCCGAAGAACATCATCACTTAGATATCTCTTTGTCCTTTTAGGGTACTTACAAGTCAGTATCTTGAGATTTATACCCTATGTTCTTTCTCTTTTGAGTGATGCTCTTCTCTTCCTTCTCGAGTATATCATCAATAAACACAATAATCAAGTTGTCAATAAATGGTTTGTAAACCCAATTCACAAGGTCTATTAATGTGGATGATGCATTTTTCAAGCTAAACGACATCACCAAAAACTCAAAATGTTTGTGAATCGAATGCAATACCATCTCACAATCATATCTTTCATATCGAAACATCTTTCTTCTTTTATTTCGTTCCTCTTATGTGACACTAATGACATATGCCAAACACGAATGGCTTCCCTTAGCTAGGAGCTTAAATGCTTTGAGCAATAATATTACACCCATGCATACTCTTGTCTTTAGACATTAAATACCATTCATTTGATGTTTCATTAAATCATAATTTCTCAAACACATTGGCATTCCCAACTCATTATGGGATAGTTCAACCCACTCTCCTCCTTAGAAATTAAATCATATACGGTTTTTTTACATGTCATGAACATCTTTCTCATCTCTTGTAATGAACTTCTATCATATAAAGATGAATTATTAACACAATCACACCGACATTTCCATATAACATGAATGCACTCCATTAAAGGCCACGTTAATGCATTTCTAAAGTATGTACTTGACATAACTATTCCTATCAAGGTTCTAAATGACGTGAAGCGTGGCGTGGCTGCAAGACCAATCCTCAAGCTTAACGAGCCATGATGAGCCACAACCTTTTTCAAGGCGTGATGTAAGACGACGATTTTGTATTAAGTTATAATTATATTACCACATAAATATAAATTTATATTAAAGATAACTACTTTTTAGAAGTGTTATATTAATAATTAATAACAAAAAGTTAACAAAAAACATAATACTTATATCACCGATTGGAAATGACAAAAAAATAGCAAAAAAAAAAAAAAAAACATTGTCTCAAATGAAAAAACATGCGCTATAACATACCATAACACGCCTTGCCACGTGCCACGCCTAACAGCAACGTTATGAAACTTTTTATAACGGCGAAGTCACACCTCACGCCATTGCGCACCTTTTAGAACACTGATTCCTATAAATCATCTTGTTTGGGATGAAAAATGTCTATGTAGGTCTTACCTAAAGTATGTACTTGCCATAACTATTCCTATAATGTCTATGTAGGTCTTACCTATTATGTTATGGCTATGCAATTTGTCATGAAATCCATACCTTATAGCTCAAACTAAACTTATCATTTCAAAACAGTATGCGCATGCACTCTTATATGTATGCTTGCACAATGTCACATAATGGTATATATTTGTACTATAACATTCTAACAAACCCTTATATTCTCAACTTCATACGAGTTGAAACTTGAATTCATAAGATTGTACACCCCTAAGGTACATGTATACCTATCATACTCATAGTCATACGCTTATACTACCCATCGATAATACACCTTCTAATATTTATGATATATGCCTCATACAACTTAGAAGGGGCTGAAATCCTTACATTGTAGCTTCCTTGTAGAGGATGTACTCCTAAATCACCTTCCCTCATAAGGGTGCACTTATCATCACTATATCCATTCATATTAATAAGAGATAAGCCAATAAGGTACATTATATCATCCAAAGCAATTACATGGGTTGCAAAGATCATTCTTTCTCATATCCACCTTAATGGTGCTCAACATACTCAAATTTGCACAACTATGCATACACCTCAACACGACCATTTTATATTAAGACATGAAGGTTTTTTTTTCTTCATATTTGCACAACCGTGCATACACCTTGACAAGAGCACACTATGTAGTCACCTCAATCTCGATTGAGAAATCAACAAAATTATCACACCCCTTCTAATTTTAAAAAATATGATCACTTAGAACTCTATTTTCCCTGTAAAAGGGTCCTTTCATTACATCTTTAAGACCATACCATCCATTCCACAAACATTTCTTATATTTTCTCATCATGTGAAAATTGTATGAATTGATTTTTTTGTAAGGTTGTATTACTACCCTTACGGGTAAAAAAAATATTTGTAAGGTAGTACTATTATCTGTCTTCCACAAAACTAAACACAAGTCAAAAATGGGCTAGGTACAAGCCACGTACGCTCATAACAAACATATTGGAACACACACACACACACACACACACATATATATATATATATATATATATATATATATATATAGAGAGAGAGAGAGAGAGAGAGAGAGAGAGATGTTCAAATCTGGATTGATATCTATTGTGCGGATATATAGGCAAATATTATTCTGTAAGAATGACAAATAAAATATGTTGTTTAATAATATAAATACGTTTAATCTTACATAACTATTATCATTATCACACGTCGTTATCCATCCACATTATATATATATATATATATATATATATATATATATATATATATATATATATATATATTCAAAACTCGTGTTTTATTTTCAACTTTTAACATCCAATCATCTATGATCGCGTTAGAAACCAAAATGAGTGGATTTGTTTGTTTAGGATTGATTCAAGGCAAAAGACATTGTTCTAATACCAATGGAAACATTATTTACTAATTAAATCCCAAATTAACACCCAAACTCATTTTTTTCACCATTTCTCATCATAAAATTAAAAAATGGAATCAAAGGAGTGATGTTTATACCATTAGGGATTCATATGTGAGCTTTGATGCTTTTATAATTAACACTACAAAATTTTCCTTGGAGATAAATCTTGATTTCATCTCACCTATCAAAACCATAAACATACTCTTTCCTTCCCAAATGACTTAACTTATAAAAGGTTTTTCATCTCAAACCTTGGCTTTTAGCCACTACACTTCAAAATCATCCAAGTATTACTACGATTTGTTATATTTTTTACTTAACCCCTATGTTGCTAGTTAGACAAAACTTATTACTTCGAATAAATATATAATTAAATTCATTTATTTAATTAGAAGTGCCCTAATTATCAACACCCCTTACATATTTTAAGTCAATTTAATATCCAAAAATAGTATATATCGAAATTAACCAATTTCCATATCATAAAGCAATTAAGGTCCAAACACTAAAATAACAATACATTGGAAGGTTTTTATCTTGAATCAACATCAAAGCTTATTCCTGAACACCTAATTCAATCCCCTATTAAATAATTTTTGATGGTATATTCACACTTAATTGTTTAAACATATTACACCGAATTGTATGAGGGTTGTGTTCGGGTGGATTTCCTTGATTAATAACTCATCTTTGATGAAACACCCCGTTCTTAAAATATCTATTTATGGGTTCCCGAGATCAAGAGTAAGGGCATTACGGTCTTTCATGAGCGATGGGTTATTATTCGGGAAGGTTTCGGACTGGGGTGTGCTGCTAGAAGCAAAGATCTTCTCGCCACCTTTCCGTGGATATAAAGTTCATCAGAATCGGGTCTAGAATGAAGGAGTTACGACACTTTGAAGATTTGTCAAGAATGGCCCTTATAGAAACAATTTGCATGGAAGACCATGCAAGCATGCTGGGACACGTGTGGGTACGCCCAGCGTAATGGGGCAAGTTGGACGCGGATGTTCAAGGCGTACGCCTAGCGTATAAGGAGTACGCCCAACGTATGCTCAGAGTCTCAAAACCCTAAATTTAGGGCCAACCACTATATAAGGAACATAATGGTACTCACCCTAGCCTCCATAAAGACTCTTTCCTCCTCAGAAGCCCTAGATAGCCGTTCCACCTCCTTTTTTGGGTGTGTTTGACCTTGGAAAGCTTGTTTTGGAAAAGGAGAGCCAAGAGGAAGAAAGAGGAAGTTGTCAAAGAAGGAGTGGGGTGGTTGGAGCTCGTAGATCTGGAAATGGATCATCTTCTAGAGCCCTTTTTGT